GCTTGGTTTCCAGCCCCCTGATCATCCCTGTCACCCTCCTCTGAACTTGTTCCAATATGTCAGCAACCTTCTTGAAGTGTGGTGTCCAGATCTGGACACAATTCTCAAGGTGAGGCCTAACTGGTGCTGAATAGAGGGGGACTAGCACCTCCCGGGATTTGGAAACTATCCTTCTATTAAATAAAATAGCATTGCTTTTTTTGTAGCCACATCTACGACAATTCCAAGATCCTTCTTACTTGTACTTTTGCTGAGCCAGGTACCCCCCATCTTGTAACTGTACAACTTTGAACTCATTCAAGGTGGTAAGGTATTTCTTGACTATTTGTTTATCTATCTCCAGCTGCAATCCTGTTCCCCCGCCCCTACTTGCACTTACAATTTGTTTGGAAGTTCATAATCTGTTTCATGGGAAAAGACTGAACTAAAATAGGAATTGAGCACCTCTGCCTTTTCTCTGTCTTCTGCTATGATTTTACCATCTCCATTCCAGAGTTGTGCCACTATGACTTTTGTTTGTCTTTTGCTACTCACATACCTGAAGAATGCTTTTTTATTGCTTTTAGTGTCTCTAGCTAACCTCAGCTTATCCTCAGCTTTTGCCCTCCTGCATTTTCTTGCGACTTGTCTGTACTTATCCTTGGTGCCCTGGTCTTCTTTCCATTTCCTGTACATGTCTTTTTTGGGTTTGTTTTTTTTTTTTTTGGTTCTAAGCTATTAGCTACCTCTTCAGCTTTGGTGTTTATTCTATTTGTTCATGCATTTTTAACAGTGTTGAACATCATCAGATTGACAACAATATTCCGTGGCACCCCACTTGTTACTTCTCCACAGGATGACAACGAAGGGTGGGTGAGAATTTTTTAGCAAACAGTATACCAACCAATTACAAATCCACCCAAGATCCAACTCACTTATTTTTATACCAAATGGTAAACTACTGCTACTGTTACCTCTTCTAACCTGGGTACAAGCAAATCTTAAATCATGGGCATATCTACAGTAAACAAACAGGTTCTATGTCTCCACTAACTTTGTATCTATATCTGAATCTATGTCAATATCTATAAAATATTTGGAATCCAATAATATCTATATAATAATTGGAATTCAATTCAATTCCATGTTAGGAATGTGCAACACCTACTACAATTATTGATGCTTTCTTCAAGCAGTAGGCCTATTCTGTCACATATTAAACTGTATTGGAAACTCCTACCATTTTTAAACTGGGAACCTCCATATTAAAAACTGACCAAAACGTTCAAAGCAACTTTTCCTTCATCTCTTGTTTACTTAATTATGTAGTTATGCCAGAGATGTGCACCTCATGGCCTTACCAATATTGCTGGATTGCAATTTGCACAAGGAAAAAACAGCACAGCAATTAGCGAAGAGTGATAAGTGTTATCATCTGGATGGCCACATATTTCCTAGCCAAACTGAGGAAGTGGCCAATCACTTTACATACTCCAACATTCCATTTCAGCTTAGGTTTAAAAGCTGATTATCTCTTTCATTTCTTTTCCTGTAAAACTTAGTCCTACAGTCCCAGGTGACATATTAGATGGTGGTCTTACTTCTGGCTGTGTAGTCGATTCAACAGAGACTAAGAGGTCCAACATGGAAAGCATAGCGCCAGGATGGATGATGACAGCATCCGAGCTTTGCAGAGGCACTGTTCCTTTGTGTGGCTTCAAATCACTAGTGTTTTTAGGAGGGAATACTGGAGGCGTTGAAGTAGAATGATATGCATGCCTAAAGGCAAGGAGAAACATAGCAATTAGCTCACACACAACATTAAGCTTGACTTTTAATAGTGTAACTCAGCATAAGTATGTTTTGACTAAGCATCTACGTAAGTATATACCATGTTTCCCCAAAAATGAACCCTAACTTGAAAATAAGTCCTAGTATGATTTTTCAAGATGATTGTAATATAAGCCCTAGTTAAGTGAAACCCTGCCCTCCACCAGGGACTCACCAGGATCCTCCAAGCCTGAGAGAGAGAGAGATGGGGGGGGGAGAGGGAGAGAGGGAGAGGGAGAGACTTAAAACTTCTTCCCGTCCTCTCCCCCTTCCGCCGCTCGCGGAGGGGCTGGACGGAAGGAGCTGCGTGCCACCAGGAACTTGCTCCTTGGCGTCTTAGTTCCCAACAGCTCACGCCTCTGCAGTGTGTGCACTTCCCCCTTCTCCTGTGTGCTCCCAGGCAAAGCTAACAAAGCACAAGGTTGGAGGGGGGAGGTGATTTTGGAGCTCCGGCCCCCGCCAGCCAGCCAGGCCCATGCCCCGCCTTTATTTCCTCCTTCCCCTCTTTCCCCTACCATAAGCCTTTTAACCCTCCTCTCATTCTTCCGTGCTGCCAGCAGGGCCACGTCATGTTGAAGCAGCCACTGCCTCCGCCCTCTCCTCAACTGGGCTTGCCGTCTTCGGGCCACCACCACCCTCTAGACCCTAGGAGCTTTGCCTCCACACCAATGGGGTCCCCCTCCTCCTCCACCACCACCACTGCTGCTAACACTGCCGCCGTTTCCCGCAACCCAGCCCAAGCACCGCCACCAGAAGAACCTGAGCATGGCACCCCTGGCAGCGGAGCCGGTGGCATCCCTGGAGGAAGTGTCACCGGGTACATTGAAAGAAGGGGAAGGAGAATAGGAATAAATTAATAATAAATAAATAAAATAAATGATTGTATTTGAATAAATGTAGATTGTTGTACTTGGAAAAAAAATAAAACATTCCCTGAAAATAAGCCCTAATGCTTTTTTCTGAGCAAAAATTAATATAAGATTTCGTCTTATTTTCAGGGAAACACGGTAGTTCTGTTTTTATCTACAATCAAACCAGTTAGATCTTCTGACTTGACACCAGTGTTAGTTTTCTATAATATATACTTGGAATCATAGCAATATTCTGGCCCTGGACAGAAAGATGATTCCTAGTAGTTTATCATGGACTAGTAGCCATAAATCCCTGGAATGTACATTTACAGAGATGACACTGAAGTCATTTTGATAAGTTTTCTGCAGAAACCAAGCACAAAACGTATTCTAAAGCAAATGATCTAGAGGTGCTGCTTAGGCCAGCTCAATTGTACGCTCCATTTACAATACATAGTGCATTGTCTTACCTACTTGTCTTTTATCTAATTGTGGACCTAACAAATGTAAAATACTTGACCATGCACAGTATCTGGACTGAAATGAAATCTGACATAGAGGGGCTGCTGTGGCTTTCTCGTTTTATTTGCCAACCTATTCACCGAATGAAATGTTCATTTTCCACATGACCTTTCTTTCAGCACATTTTATTTACCCTTGTCAATGGAAAATCTGTGGGCACTCTGGGATTGTCTGATTTTACTATGGATACATTGGGCAAACATGGAATGCTTCACAAAGAGAACTGCCAGTCAAATCACCAATTCAAATGATTGATCGCTGCAATGGAAAACCAACTGCAACCTGTAAAAAATGCAATCAAAGCACTTCATGCCACCTGCACCTTACATTATGTATTCTATGCCTAACAGAACTTTTTATTTGAAAATCAGAATACCAGAACTATTTAGGGAGGGCAAAGATAACTGTCTCCTTCCCTGTTTTGCAATTAACATCACATTAGATTATTCTTTAAGTCTTAAATCTACTTAAAACCATTGTAAGGTGCAAGAAAAGGGGACACCAGTATTTTTAAAGGAACTTTTTGCAGCTTTTATCTTGAACACATTAGGTCTTTGAACTCTTCTACCTCTTTCTCTGAAGTTACTTTGCCTTCTCACACTGAAACCTTGAATGGAAGGCTTGTGTCAGATTACTGACTGAATCAGCACAAAGAACCATGCCTTGTGCTGTTACAGAAGTAACATTATGTCCATCAGATCAGTTTTAGCCTAGTATCTAGGAGTTTAAGATAACTGAAATTAAGAAAATGCAAGTGACATTTCACCGGTGCATGATACAAGCTAGGCTACATTATTTGTCCATCTAGCTCACACTTGTCTTATCTGACCGATGTGAGTTTTCCAGGTGGGTCTCAGGCAGGCAGCTGTTTCTCCATCACTTCTTATCTACTCTTTTTAGCTGGACATGCCACAGGTGACACCTAGGATGTTCTACATGCAAATCATATTCTTTATGAATAAGGTTTAATCTCCCTTTAAAGAGTCACCTTATGACATTTAAATTACAGGAAAATTTGGATGTGCACCTTTCGGCAGCACTCAATAGGTCAATTCTATCTGTAATAGTAATAAGAACAGCTCAGTACATCATACTTCAGAATTATCAACATTTGTTGTTTTAAATAAACGTAGCACAATGCATATTTAAGTATATCCCTCCCAATATCACAATCTGTTTCTCAATCCTGTATTTGTACATTTTCTCTGTCACTAGGATGATTAGGCACAGCTCATTCCTGGGGATAAAACCACACAAAGCTTTGGAGAAAAAGATGGACCATGATGCCTTGGTTCTAACACAAGAATCCTGTTGATTAAAACCAGGTGGACGTGCATGGTTGTAAATAAAAACTGCTCTGTACTTTTTCTATGCTCTCAAATTGCTCTAACAAGCAAGAAAGGGCCTACAAAATAAAAGTGTCTTTTTCCACAACCATCCCACCCCACTTCACCTCACTCTTCGCCCAGTGTGTTTCCATGCTTCACCAAAAGTTAAGAAATGTTGGGGTAAGAAAAGAAATTTTAGGACACAGGGAACAGGTTTGCAAAGGAAGTCTCTTGCTCTAGAAAATAAATTCTGACATATCTAGGGCAGATCCCATCCCCATCACAAGAACAATTGACAACCATAAATGGGATAGTTACAGACCTTGAAAGAAGTGTTTCTAACACTTTTCAAAGTTTTCTCAGCTGTTGTTTTCTATCTATTTCCCCAAATCTTAATTAACATCTCCAAACAATTATTTTGTTGCCTCAGCTCCCGCAGGAATTCTGTCTTCACCATTCAACTAATCATTTAAATAATGCTGGCAATGCTTTAGAATTCGTTAAAAATGTACTACTGTACTGGTTTTTGCACACAGAGCAGCTACGAGGATACAAAGAAACTTTTTCATGAACAGGACATGAAATGTGCTTCCAAACACAGAGCAACACAGTTTCATAGGATGGTTTTCGAATAATCTGTCATTCCATTCTGGTCTGGATTTAACCCAGTATGATTTATGTACCAAAGCTGTTTGTATTTAGGCAAGTACAATCCCTCCCCCACACACCATAAATCTTTGCTTCCTTACATACATACTTAGGCAGATGAGGTATAAAAACATGATAGTGTTAGCAGATTATGCAATGATCTTCATGAAGTAGATTCCCACAATACAGAAAGTCAGCAGGATTTAAAACCAATGTTTTTCTCCTTTGCTAAACAAATTCCACATCTACTAACTGATTTTATAGGTTTCTACTTATTTTACTGTTTTAAAAATTAGTATCCTGCCCTTACGTTTTCCTGTTTTTGCTTTTAAAATACCAATTGAGACTTTTTACATTTAATGCAAAGATTACTCAGAAGAAATGTCATTTTAAAGCTTCACCAGGTAAGTAGATATTATGTAAGTGAAACAAACAAATAAAAGCATATCACAGAAGTTCAAATCCAGTTTGTTATTACAAGGATTAGAAGAAAACATTCAACACTTGATCTCTCTAGTCCAAATTGGCACAGTCTATTCTACCTACAATGGGTTCTAACACATCCTCCGACACATTTAGAGTCTCTACCTTAAAGATGTCTCAAAAGCAGTA